TTCATATTTAAAAATTATTTAATATTTATTTTTATAAATTTAATCTTAATATATATATATATATATATTTAAAATCAATTGTACCATGATAAAAATTAAATTATCATATTCAAATTAAGAATTTAAAATTTTAAAATTTTGAATTGATTTATTCAAATAAAAACATTTAAAAATAATTAAAATAATTTAAATTTTAAAAATTTCAAATTTTTTACGGTTCTAAAATTCTTAACCCACACATACCATTAAAATCAAATTATAAAAAATATGCATTATTTAATGGAAAAATTCGGACTTTCTAACATTAGTTAAAAAATACATAATTGAACACACATGCTTAATTTTTAAGTCTTTTCTCTCGTGCATGTTTCATTACTTAAATATCATATAAATACTATCTTTTCAATATTTAGTCAACATTAAATATAATATTTAAATATTCTATAACATTAAATATATTTAAATATTCAATCAACATTACGAACTAATACCCTATCGTTTTATATGATATTTAAGTTTTTTTTTTTTTAATTTCTTTTAGGTATTCATCTTTATAACATGGTAACATAATATTTAAATATTCAATCAACATTACAAACTAATATTCCATCATTTTATATAATATTTAATGATTTTTCCTCTTATTTTTTTTTCAGTATTCATCTTTATGACATGGTAACATGTGTGTTTTTAGTTGTATTTAACATGTCAATTCATCCCTCTCATGGTAGATGATACTAACAGTTAAATGAGAAACTCTAAGAATTAAGTAATTCTTATGAGTTTTAGGCTTTTAGGGATTTTTCTAGGTAGAAGTCTAGTTTGACTTTGAGGAAAAGGTATATAAGTTTTTTTTTTAATGACTTAAACTTTATAAATTCATTTTTTAAAGAAATCTTAGAGAGATAGTAGAGAGAAGAACTTAGGAATTTTGATATTCTTTTTCTTCTTTCTATCTTTCCAAGAGTTGTAGAAGTTCATAATTGAATAACTGATTGACGATTCAAAGTTGTTGAAGCTAAGAATTGTAGTGGGTGCAGTGTGGTATGGAGCTTTTTGAAGTTAGCTCAGAACCCATCTTCTTCTTCCTCTTTTCTTCTTTGATTCTCAAGATTTTGAGGTAAGAAAAGCTCAAATCCTATGTTTGAATTGGTTGAGTTGCATGTTGATTGATTTCCACAAATTGTGTTGATGTTGGTAAATTTTAAGAATTTAATGTTAAAGTTGGTTTTTTGTTGTTCATGAGATGTGTTAAAGTGAAAATTTTGATTTATAATCAAATTGGGGGTTGCATGTTGGTTATGATGTTGGATTTAGGTTATTTGAAATGCCTATATATGTTGTTACATGTTGCATGCTTGGATACTTCGAAGTTTTAGGTGTTTTTGGCCAATTCATGATTTTGTTGAACGTAGATTTCACCATTGCATCATGCGCAACTTCAAGGCGCCAAGCATGACATAAGTTAGAGGCTCTTTGCCTCAATGACACCAGACGTGGGGTTGGTAATGTCAAACATGAGTTAGAGGTAAACTCTTCAACTTGATCACCTTAGGTATGGATTGAATGGCGTTGAACATGATGAGAGAGAAATGCCTTAAACTTGGTGATGTCAAGACCAAGTTGAGTGATGCCCAACGTAACCAAGATAAAAACTCTCTACTTAGACAACATCAGACACCAATTTAGTGATGTCAAACGTGAGTTAAGTAGAGGCTCTCCACCTAAAATGGGTTTAGGCATGGATTTAGCCATGCCAAGCATGATTGCAACGGAGGTTCGCTGCCTCATTCACGCCAAGTGTAGGTTAAGTGGTGTCAGACGTGAGGTAGCCTGAGAGCTCGATGCCTCAATGGCATTGGGCTCGGGGAGGATGGCATCGGGTGTGAGTTACCTTATGAAATTTTATTGTTTTCTTGATAAAATGGTGAACATGTATATGTTAGTTAAATGTAATACATGTATATTGATATATGTTGTTTGTTCTTTATACATTGATATGAGATAATGTATATAGATGATGCTATTGTTGTTTTGGTGAGGCGATGGTGTTGAGAATACTTAAGGCATTATGACATGTTGTGTTGATTAACTTAGGATTAAAGGAAAGTATGTTTTAGAAAGTTGGATATCTCATTGTGAGGATATTGTTGTGGTGTTCTACGAGCTCAATTATTAAAAACCCTTCTTGAGTGGTTGACTCTCAAAGTGGATAGATGTGTATCCTCTAAGACCTTAGTTGATGCGGAATGTCGGTAAGGTCAAGGCATACCATCTATAAGTTACCATAGTATGGGGATCAAGTCGAGCCATACTAATTACAAGTGATCAATGTTGACTAATTTGAGTAAGGTACAAGGTCAAAAGCTAGAATCCTTAACTAAGTACTATAAGGGTGTAGTATTTGGAGGGTAATCGGCATGCTAATCCTATAGGTGGCTTAGTTATGCAAGCTAATGTCATGGTAAACTCACACCTAAGTTGCTCTACCCTGATAGTAATAATATAATTTATAGTTTAAGTGGTGAAATCCGAAAAGTCATGTTATGGATTGGTATCCAAATTGGTTGTTTATCCAACAGGTGTATGAAAATCATGTTGGTTCGGTAGGGTCAAACTTCTTAGACTGCTCATCTTTTTTGTAAGAGATCTTCGTAGTTGAATCTTAGACGATGAATATATTTGAGGTGTTATGTATATGATGTGTTGGTTATGGCGATGCTCATGTGCTATGTGTTTTTTTTTGTTGTCAAATTGCTTGGTTGTGGTGTAAGTTGATATAAGGTGATATGCTTATGTTATTTACCTTTTTAAGATCATTGAATGTCCTATTGAGGTGCTTGTTAAGGTTGTAAGCCATGTGGAGGTGTTATGTTGTGTGATTTCCATGTGGATTGGTAGTATAGTTGTTGCTACTTCTATACTTGATATGTTTTGTTCTTTGAATACTAGCTTACCCTTAAATATTTTTTTGTAGTTGGATTGTGATGATCATATTTATATGAGAGTAAGGTAGGGAGAAGTTGAAGATAAGTGTCAAGTTGAGAACCATGTTGGATGGTGGCATAGCTAGGTGCTACCGTTTTATATATTTTGTAGATGATCGACAACTTAGGTTACATTTCTAATTTTTTCTTTACTATATATAAATATATGTGCACAAGATAAGTTGTAGTTTCATTTAAGAACAATTACCTTTTGGTTGGTTGTATCCTTATGTATATATCTATATTATTACATGTATTTTTCATGAACTATTTGTATGTTAACCTTAGGCAGATGTTTTATATTTTTTTTGTGAGTAGTTAAATTGTTAAATGTAGGGACCTTGATATATTGTTACATATCTTACTAATAAACAACAATGTTTAATAGTAATGTGCATTCGAGTGTAATGACATGACATAAGAAATTGCTTAAAAATAAGCAATGACTAAACAACATTACTTAGAACACAAATCATTCCCACAAATAGAAAAACAAATATGCATCATCAATCCTTTATCACTTATGAATTAAAAATTAGTCACCCATCACAATTATATATTTATCATGGTTATGTAATTTCTTTTCTTTTAATATTTAATATTTTTTATACGTATTAAATTAATTGTGCAAATTTTATTATTAATTTTTATGTTAAAATATTGTTTATTATATTTAATTAATTTAATATTTAATTATAATAATAACATTAATTTTTTAAATTATTAAAAAGTAAAATATAAATAAAAATTTATAAAAGTGTGAGTTTATTATAATGTAAGTTATTTAAAGCAAAATAAGAACCTTAATAAGTTATTTAGATTAATCAAAGATTTAAAATTTAAAAACTTGTTTCATTATTTTTGAACTTTAAGAATCAATATAACCAAACATTAGAATTTTAGAAATTAAATTAACTACTAATTTACAATTTTAAAACTAGATTAATTGGCAATTCATAATTTCAGGAACGATTTTATTGTTTTATTAAATTTTAAGATCAATTTAATCAGACATTATAATTTCAAGACTGATTTAGTGATTCGGTCAATATTAATTTGTAAATCATGGTTAAACATTTTTATTCATTAAAAAACATTAAGATTTTATAAATTTATATTATTTTATCTTTATATATATTGTCATTAAAATAATTACTAATTAATTAAGTTAATTTTGTATAATATTTTTTTCAATTTATTTTTCCATATTTTTATAAAGAAACACGTTTCACGGATACTTATTAGTTACTAGTTAATCTTGTAAAAAAATACTAATTACTAGTTAATTTTAAAGTTTAAGACGTTAATAATATTTTCTCCCGATCTTATTTTGACTTATGAACGAAATTTATAGTTTACTTTTATTTCTGAAAATTTTGTGGTAGGCACCAAAAATATCCTCACAATAGACAAAAAATAATAATTTATTTCAAAAAGCACCGAATTAGATTTTGTGTCCCCCAACTCTTTTTTTCTTCTTCTGTAAATCTATTAGGTTTTTTTTAAAAAAAACTTGAATAAGTGCGTAATAGGTGGTCAACGTATGGATAAAAAAATAGGTGGTCAAAGTCAAATGTACCTATAAAGATATACTAATTGATGAATTTAATTATCCTTTATTCATTTTTTATAAATAAAATATTTGTAATAACTAAAGAATGCAAGACATGCCCCTCAAAAAAAAGAATGCAAGACATGCATTTTTTTTTTCAACTAACCAACATTACAAGAAAATTACCTTGCTTTTATACTTAATATTGTTAAAGAGCTTAATTAATTAATGTAGTGAAGATATTTGTATTTATTTATTCAAATTCAACAATTTACTAACGCAATTTTGAATTGAAATCAACATCGGGCATATATGTCAAATTTCTCCTTTGAGTTAAAATATTTAAGTGATGTATTTTAAATATAAGAACTTTAATAAAGAAGAAAATAGATTATAGAGTTATGATGCAAATAATTAATTTAAAATAATATAAAATAATTTTACGGAGAATATTACGCAAGAACATTAAACTCTTGAAAAAGAAGGAGAGAAGAGGTAACATAACAGAACATTATATGATTGCGCGTGTGTGGGTGGTGTTGTGGTGTGTTGTGTTGTGTGGGTTTATGAGAGAGCATGGGAAGGGTTTTTGTTCTTGATTTGGATGGCAGATCTTACGGATGCAGATTATGCGATACCCCTCTTGCCCTCGCTGATAACATTCTCTCTCGGGTTAGCTTCCATTTCAATGCCCTCTTTTTCTATTATTTTCTTTTCAAGAATTTAATTAAAAACTCGCTTTTTCTGCTGCTTAAAGGTTGAATTTTCGCCGCTTTTTTAAAATGGATCAGGGCCAGGACGACCAAATGGATTGGTCGTTTCGAAAGTTGTTTTCTTTTTGTAGATTATTGGTTGCATGCATCTGGGTTGGGAATTGCAATCAGTTTCTGGAAACGTATAATCCATTGGTTCTTTTTGTTTTCATTGGAATGATGTGTCTAATTTGATATCTGGAGAAGGATGATTTGAGTCTCTAAATTGAGGCGAGCGTGTTGTACATGGTGCTGGTTTTTGGAGTTTGGAAATGCCTAAATTATATGAGATGATGCTAGGTTGGAAATTGGGGCAAATGTTTATTTCATGAGCTCAATTAATTAACTTTTTAGGCTTTTAGCATCGAAGTGAGAAGCTGTTGGGTGAAAATTCAGGGAGGGAGAGTAACCTTATGAGTTAATTTAAATCTGTAAAGAACCGTATGTTGAGCTAACGTTGGATCGTGTGGGTAAAGAAGCTCATATGAAGAGTTAATTCTTCGAAGTGAGAAGTGCTGACTTTTCTCATAGGTAAATAAATCAATCTTTTAGGGTCAAATTGAGGTTAATGAGGATATTTTTTTGTTGAAATTGGAATAACTTTTAATGAGAGAACAATAGAACTTTAATTTGGGGGAAAATGTAAATATGGAGGTAGATCATGTTTCAGTCCACAACTCCACTGTAAATTCTGATGATGAAAGGGAATCCATGGATTTGGAAAGTAATTGAATGAACATGTGTGTTATGTATTCTTCTAGAGCCTGTGCCCTGTGGAAGGATGTACATGGGTGGTGTTTTTTCCCCCACTTATTCCCATGCAAGAGACCAAAGAAATGACTTGGAAGTTGGAGCAGGAGTTTTGTTTTGTTTTTTTGCCTTTTTTTTTTTAAATACTCGATGCACACGAAAAGGTGTTTGTGTAAAATATAAGACAGCTTTGAGAATGAGACACTTGCCGTTATGTTTTGTCACACTTCTACTACACCACATCCATTGTGGGTGTGAGACAGGGAGCTCTGTTTTAAAATGAACGTCTCCATACGGTTGGTTAGAATTTGTTTATTTTGCCAAAATTTTGTTTTCTGTGGCTATATATGATACATAGATTAAATTTTACTAAGGTTCTGTAATTAAAGATGCATAACGTTTTAAATTTTCCTTTTATCTTGAGCTTAAATGCAAAGAGTAGACAGTGGGCCAACATCTGTGATTGCTTTTGCTTTGAAAAGGAAACTGAGTTATTTCATATCTTGATACTTTTGGTACATTTATGCTGGCTACATTTAGAATATAATAGAACAAGTTATAGATATCCAAAGTCGTGAAAATAAGTTCAACAGTCAAATTTAGTCCTGTCTTAGCTAATTATCATAAATTGCTGTTACTTATTCCACTGTTGAAAATGTACCTAGTTTGTTTCCATATGCTCTAGCTATTTGACTCTAGTATGTTTCCCTGCAATTATCAGAACTTCAACTGCAGTCGAGGGAGAGCATACCTTTTCAGCAATGTGTAAGTTGTTTGAAACACTTTCTATTTCCTGGCCCTCTCTCCCATCCCATGTTCCTTGTTTTTTCAGATTATTATTGTACTTTCATATCAACCCGCTTCAATATTTGTTAAGTATTTTGTGATGGACGAATTTAGTTGTCCCACCCTCAGGATCCTTCCCCCACCTTAAGTATTTTGAATGAAACATCATGGTTTTGTCAATGATATTGAAAGAAAAAAAATGATTTTCTTCTGACTCGCATAATTATTGCCTTTCTTTTACCTATCAACACCTTACCTTGAATCTTTGTGACTAACTATTTTTTCCTTGTTTGTTAACTTTTGGCCTCTAATAGGGTGAATATAACCCTTGGGCCTCAGGTGGAGAGAATGATGATGTCTGGATTGCACACAGTTGAAGACATATTTTGTTGCTGCTGTGGACAAATTCTTGGATGGAAATATGTGAGTTTTACCTTTGCAGCTCTAGTTTCCTTTCTTTCATACTTTATACATGAGGGTTTTCCTCAAGATCATTAATTAGTGGTTGGGTGAGTCTTGAAAGTTAAAACTGGCAATGAAGTTGATTTAGTGCATGTTTGGTGATACCGTGAGTATGACAAATAGTTGCTTTTGTGTTGATTTCACCATGATTTTATCCTCATCATGATTTCTTACCACCAATTCAAACACACTATAAATAAGTGAGCACATCTGAAATTTAAAATCCGATACTTTTATGTCAATAACCCTGCGAGTACAATGAATCTTATACATAAAATCATATTAAACACTCAAATTTACCCTAATTATAGTTTCCAACAATTTTATTGCTAATAAAAATAATACAGATGAGTAATTTCTGTTTTCCCAATCTATTGTCTATAAATCCATTTATGATCTAACATGAAAAAAGTAAGCTGCATTTAGAGGGCTCATTATCTTTTTAACTGTAAATTAATACAAAGAGTTGTTTTCTATCCCACTGGATTTGTTTAATGTAAGTCATGTTTCGACTCAAATTAAATTAGCTATCATGGAAAGAGAATCCTAAATTATTTAAACATTTGATGCCATTAAGAAAGATGTGGTCTCCGGATTCATTTAAAAGGATTGTCTATTAAAGCACCCATGGTAACAATAACATCGTGTACATGCAACCACTTGTTTTAGTCTTTCTCTGTTTTCCTCTTATTAACATATATCAGCATAACGTTTTTTATGAGCTCAAAGCAGTTTGAAGTAATAACGAGTTTGGATTCATATTCAGGTTCTAGCACATGAAAAGAATGAAATGTACAAAGAAGGGAAGTTCGTGCTTGAAAGGTATAGTGTCAAAATATGATTATGAATTTGATCATGTCAAGTTAAGCTAAAATTTAATTACGGTTGATGCATCTAACAGGTGGAGGATAGCTGACAATGTTGAAGAGGAGTTAAATTTGGATGCTCAAACTGGCTCTCAAGCTGGCTCAAGTGACACAGAAAACGCTTAGCGAGTTGCTTCCCTTTCATGAATTTGAAGCATTGTAGCTAGCAATTATATTACACCTATAGTGTCGTAGGCTGCAAATATATTATACCTTTAGTATTCATCAAGATGCAATTTTACATAGAAACTCCTTAGAGCAACATAAGCTTAGCTTATTTCCAGCATTTATAAATAGTCACAGCGCATCGAATCCTTTCTAGATATTTATGGAGGGCATATATTCATCTTATATTGTGAGTCGAAGATCTTTACTTTGCTTGATCTCAATAATTCAGATGTGTGGATAATTAGATTACGGTGCTAGCAATAAGTTTACAATTACAATTTTACAATAGTTGAGTTTGTTATGTAATTACGTGCATCCCAACCAAGTAGCGTTCAACTTGTTCAAAAATAGAAATGTTCGTATCCTTTGCTCACTAGTTTGGCGGTCTATTTCCTTTCGAACAAATTGTAGACACGTACAAATATAATTTATCATTTTTTTGGGGACAAGTGATAAAGAGTGGCTTCCAAACACTTGTGATTGTGGATTAAAAAGTACTTTCTATATTTCTTTTCACCTTCAAAACTATTTTTCTTCTCCCCTTATCCTTTTCTCCTCTCCACACCTTCCTCCCAAACTTATTAGTTAAGAAACTGTTTAGAGGAATAAGGAACAAGCTCAAATGTGACCGGGCCGGTCTTGTGTGCAATTAGTTGGCCCAGTACTAGTGCTGCATCAGAATTGTTAAAAATAGTAGAAGTGATATAAAATGGGGGATAAAATGAAATTAGGGAGGAAGAGGAGAATTTTAACAGTTTTGGGGGATTGTACATTCTATTTTGTTTTGGTATGTCCGTGATACTGAGTTATAAAAGTTCTTCTAGATTGCTTTGTTCTTTTCTATTTTTTTCTTTTACTCATTCCTTACGGAAAACACTTCACTTTATCTTACTCCAAACTCCCTTTCTTCACCCTTCATCACCTCTTTCACATCCTCTTTACCTCTTTCTTTTATAAAATATGGAGGACGAAGTCAATACTTTTTTGGCAGCGTGGCTAGTTTCTATGATGCAGTGCGTTTATATAGAAATTTTTTCTTCCATCATAGGTTCTAAGTAGTCTAGAAAAGGACAAAAAAAGTAAACACGATAATGAACAAAATTTTCTGATTTACAATTTTCGGAAGTTCTCAGCGTGTAAGAAGTGTCTTGTCTCAAGAAACTCTCAGTATATACGGTGTGGAAGTGACGCACCATCAGATGGTGGATCAGATTATATTAGTAGGGCGATTCTGCAATCTAAATTAAAAAAAAAAAAAAAAAACAACTTGATGGCAGGTAAACAGAGGAATACCAAGACTCAAAAGGTAATATAATGATGTGTGTCATCATGAAAGCAAAATGGGCCCATTCTCAGCTGCGGTGTAGGTTTTGCCTTGATTATTATGATGCCTTGTCATTTGAATGTCACGTGAAAAATGGGTCCTGGCTTTTGCATATGGGGCTGCTCTTGCTGCAAGAGAAAAGTAGCATGAATTTTCACTCAATATAATTTCTTGATGCTTATTGCTTCACAAGGTCATCCGTGGGAATTACAAGCACATGTTGGCAAATGGGCCGACCAACCAGACCCATTAAAAAGTATTTGGCATCAAATTAATTCTAAGCATTTTTAGTTCGACCTAAGAGCATTTCTAGTGAAGGTTGCTTATAAGCAACCTCCTGTGCCACATCATTGCCACATTAGCTCTGGTCTACTTTATGAGTTGTTTAAATTTTAGTAAAATTACTTTATAAGTTGCTTAAATTTAAGCAATCCATAAAGTGAACCAGAACTGATGTGACAATGATGTAGTACATGAAGTTGTTTATAAGCAACCCCCAACTCGAAATGCTCTAACTAAGTTTTTGAAATAGTTCATCAGTTAAATGAGTTGAACCAAACATGCGAGATGGAATCATGGAAGTGAAAGTGGAACATACAATGTGTTTTTTTTTTTTAGCGCAACTGTAATCCACAGATCATGAGTATCCCTTACCTGCTATTTGCTGAGCTCGGAGGATATTATGCCTCCTTTTCCACCAACAAACTGAACAGATAATAAGGAGGAGAAATGTAAAAGAAACCCCTAATCCAATGCTGATTTTACCACCGGCAGAAAGATGAGGCCCACATGTAGGTAATCCAGGTATACCACAAAGACCTGCATTATCAGTAAAACTGCAGGCATCCACAAGTTAAAGTAAGAAATATTTGTTACTTAGCAAAAACAAAGTGAACAAAGATGTACATGCGGAATATCCTGTCGTAGCACTAGTGATTACGTATTATATAATTGTCTATAGTTTAATATTTGATAACATACTTGAAGCTAGCTCTGTACAGTAATCTTCCTCCTAGAGTTGCTGGGACCTTTCCAGACAGGAGGTTGCTGTTAAGATTCCTGCATGAAGACATTTGGATACAGATTTGTTGTCCTCATATGTGTTTTATGGGTTTACTTAAACACTGGAAAATCTTACAGTCTTTGTAATGATGTCAACTGTCCAAGGCTTTCTGGAATTGATCCATTGAAAACGTTGTAGGATAGGTCACTGCATGATTACATGGCACTCAGAAATGACAATAACATGATAGCCAAAGCCAAGACAACAATTCATAGAACGTGTTTCCCACCTTCACAAACTTAAAACAAGAAAAAGAAAGAGGCAGAGATTACTTAACAGCACTTGCAGACCAGTTATTGTACCAAGTGAGGATGGAATTGCTCCGTGGATGTTGTTCCTACTCAAGTTTCTGCAATTCATATGCTAATAAGTAATAAGCACAAAGAAATGGAAAACGAACTAGCTGGTCGTTTCTGTATGTTGAAGAATAATAAGTTACAATTGAAAAAAATCCAAAATACTAGACTCAAGAAATAAACACTGAATTCTGAATAAATTACAGAAGTAATATGATATTTTAGGCTAGATACGAGTAAAAATATCAATAAACACAAGGTTTCCCCTCACAAGGTGTTTCCGCATTCAAAACACTAGAAATGAAACACTAGGAATAACATCAATAAACAAGTCTGCCACCTAGCAAACATCAACAAACATGGAGTTTCCCCCTTCAAAACATTATAAATAACAATCTGACACCATAATTGTCTTTTACTGTCACACAACCTATATACCATTATAATGGTCATAACATACAACTGCCTATTCTGAAATTAATATAAAAATAACTACCTAACAACTTCCTAATACAGAATTATAATTTGTAACCACTTAATTCAAAACTTGGCCTATTATAATGCCTCTCGTACAGATGCAGCCTTGTCTTCATGGTTGAAATAAGCAAACTGTCCCTTGTAGATCAGCATTGAAATTTAGTTCCAGTAAATCAACCCCTTTGAACTCTTCCCTATGGAGTGGCAAAGTGATTGGCCAGATAGAAAACCATGATTTTCTTTTAATATATTCTTGATAAGGCAAATGCCTTGTGTCCCTATTACGAAATTGTGTAGACTGGTTGATGCTAAAATTGGCATTTGAATTTCCAGTCAAGGCCAATGGGCAATGATTTTAAATTGTAGGTATAACACTGTTCAGTAGCTCGACTTAAATTGTCTGGAAAATAACAGTTTCTCCAAGCAACTCGCCTTCAATCAGTCGTTTAAGGAAGATTGCCTTTGGAACACTTTGCAGGTCATGTATTCGCACCATCCTTCTAATTAATGCATTGATAAATGTTCAAACAACATTTCAAACTGCAACAGATAATCTTACCCAACTTGTTTAATGGATACCAGGAAGTTGCCCAAAAGGATTCCCTACTCCACTTCCAGCATATGTGTTGAGCAATTTTGCTGTCAGTCTTTCCCAATCCATCTCAAGCAGTCTGTTTCTCAATTACCAAAACTAATTTACAGCAGAGCCCTCCATTTGCACAAAAGCTAGAGGCATCTTCATCTCTAGTCTTGTGTTATGAATTTTGAAATACTTTTCGGTCTGAGCCAACCAACCTATTGGATCACTTAAACCAAAATTGGGCAATTCAACTCTCTGTTCCGCCTATTTGAGTGTTTGTGGAATTTGCATCCAAATGTTCATGAGGTTGTGTTACAGGAAATCTTGTAAAACTAGGACTTCTGCATCATGATCACATCTCCAGAGCCTTTTGCTTCATCTATTTCTATAACAAATCAATGAATCATGCGTCTTATACAAATTATCATTCTTCCTTTTATTTCATCAAAGTTCCTTTGGATTTCTTCTACATTCTGCCCTTTGGTCCTCAGATGATGATGATGGTCAGAATTGGATCTGCATTACTCACATCACTAGACTAACAGATCAATTCCGCTTGCCTTTCCAAGCCTTCTACTTTTGTGTTCATCCTAGTCCGTGGCATTGGCATCCAACATGATGCACCCATTGTTGGACTCAAGAAATAAACACATTAAATTCTAAAGAAATTATAGAAATAATAAGGCTTTTAGGCCAGATTTGAGTACAAACATTAACAAACACAAGTTTTCCAGTAACAAGGACTTTCCGCTTTCTAAAAACTAGAAATAACAATCTTACACCTTAATTGCTTTCTACAGTCTTATAACTATCACTATAATATCATAACACATAACTACCTAATCCAAGATCAAAATAAATAATTGCTAAATAACGTCCAAGTACAGAATTATAATTGGCTAACTAAGAACTCGGCCTACCAATACCAAGTTATGAGAAATTACTCAATTATTTGTCTCTAGTTATTCAATTAAGCCCTTCATATAGGTTTTTATGATCACCAATACAGCAAGCATAACACGTGCATCCATGCATTGATATAAATATTTAGGCATACAACATCTTTTCCAAAAATACTTGGAAAACCTTTCTGGAACTCACAGGATTTGTAGATTAAGTAGTCTGGATATATCATCTGGCAAGAAACCTTTCAGACCTTGATTGTCAAGACCACTGTTCATCAACATACGAAGCACTCGTTAACTAAAATATAAAAACAAAAATACTAACATGGAATATTCAACATGATTAAATATTCAAAACAGTTTTCAACACAAATCGCATATCTATGTACCCGGTGGAACCAATCTCTTAGCTAAGTGCTGGGTGTAGTTCTACAATTTTTTAGAGTTAAAATATATATTTTGTCCCTATATGTGATAATTTTAATTTGATATCTATATTTAAAAAATTCAGTATGGTCCTTAAACATAAGATTGTTTTCAACTTAGCTCATCCTTTTTGTCTTTTGCCATTATAATACAGCGAGATTAACATGTATTACTTTGAAGTATGACTAGGAGCCAAATTGAAAATAATTCTCCTGTATAGGATCCGAAAATATAGTATTTCTAGTTCTTATATGTAGCACTTATTTTCAATTGGATCCATACACTTCGCTATGTAACAATTCCAAACAAATGACGCGAACCCATTTCAAAACGATTATACATAGAGGGATTAAATTGAGAAATTTTCATATAGGGTCTAAATTAAAAATTAGCCATATATAAGAACAAAAGTTGAATTTTAACCTCTCTAAAAATGAATTTTTCCCAAAGGAATTTAAGAATGGGGAGGATCAATGCAAGGGTTACATCCTCAAATAAGAAACATAATAATAAAGTTGATATCACCAAACAGAGTAAAAATGAAGTTACACTTTGAAAAAGACGTATATTCACTTAGTGTTCACATGAAAGCTGTCATTGTGCATACGGCCAAAGCACAAAAATTTTCCCCTTTTCTTCCTAATAGAAGGTTATCCATTGATAAAGTGAAAGTGAATGAAAGAATTATTAAGACGAAAACTACCACACAATTAAATGTAATAAAACAAAAAAAGCTTCACGTAAGGATAACAAGAAATTACAGTCCATCAATGACCCAGCTGCCACTACTTTTGTTTAATTGGCAATCCACTCCACTCCATGGATGTTGTTGAGGAACACAAGGATCACCATTCCATCCCAACCTGGGTGGAAGCCCCAATGCTTTCTTCAATGTTTGTAAAGCCCGAACTAGAGTAAACGTCAATAATAAACTTGCAAAAGTTAACATCCATTCGAGTTACCAAAAGCAGCATTTTCTACCATTAATAGTTCATGAATAAGAGAGCACGTAAACGGAACAAGTATTATAAACCAAGTGGTCAACAAATTTCATCTCTGATATGGGTAAGTAAGAACTCCAAAAGCAGTCAATAAAGGAAAAGCATAAGGAGACAAAGGGATCTAATATGTTTGAGTGGGAATAAATTCCATGGTGTACTCTTCACAAGCTATAATAGACCCAAAAATTAGAGTTTTTGAGATGTCTTAATTGATTAGAAATAAAAAGAAGCTAGAAACTGCATATTCCAACATCAATAATACAGCTCCTAAGCACATGACATACACATAATGTTATCACTCGCTTCCAATGACCTAACACTAACCTTGATCGTGGATATTTCAAAGTCATTCAAGTTCTGAGCCAAATTCAATGTAGGTTTTCTTTAATAATACAATAAATAGTTAAATATCATATATCATTAGTATGGACGTTCTTTTCGAAAAAACTGTAACACTAATAGGGATGAGTACACGTACCTTCCTCTGATATAGTTTTTGACTCGGCCATTATAACCTCAAATATCTCAATGGCATTGATTATGGCGAGACTCCCTTCCTTTGGGTTCAATGTTATTGTCAGAATCCTCCCATTAACAGTAACAGTTGTATTAAGCACAAGGGCCGTATAGAGATCCCCACTCAATTCTACAATGTCAACATTTTTGAAAGCAAGATCACCGTTTATTATAATATCAAAGACCCTTTGCCCCGCTGCAGTCACTGAATTATCAATCTCTGCAAAATGTAACAAAACAGAATAGTTTCTGTTGGGATCCACCTCCAATGCATATGTTAAATCAGGCTGACTATTAGTACTAACAAGAGCTGACTGATAAAGAGTTTCTGGATAGAAGTTTGGTGAATGCGAAGCATGTTTGATCATAGTTTCAACAGACCTTGGTTGATCAGATTCATAACCCTGACCAAAAGTTTTAATACTTTGCCAAAATCTGTCCCCTCCCCAAGGATCCCCACTATAATCTACGTCAAACTTTGACTGCCCAAAGCCACAACTCAGTCTTTTAACTGTTCTAAGTATTATCCTTTGACTCAACTGGGGGACCAAATAAGCCTTATCATCAATTTGAAGGATCTCGATAGAAAGGATTGCTGGATCCCCATGACCAGTGCTATGGAAACAGATTGAGATAGAGTCATTTGTAAGAAACACTAGCGCCTCAGCAAATACTTGATCATTCTGATGCATCCAACCCGATTTCAGAGAATATATTTGCGTGCCTTCAATAGAAATGTCAAATAGGGGTTCATTGCCATCTCTAATCTGACCAACAAGTCCAAAGAAGATCCTGACTGAGTAGTGACCCTTTGGCACTCTATCAATGATGTAACAATTTTGTGGACCTTCAGACAAAGGAAAATAGCGAAGAGTGCTGAGTGGTGGGGTAATGTAGCTTGGACGAGATGCATTAGCGGCTATGCCTCCTGTATACCCAATATCTTCGTGCCAAAGGGTATTGGTTACTCTTGTTTGTACATTTTGACGAGCCCCACAGCTCAAGCGCATAGCAAATGGTGCTGCAGTAATTTCAACCAAATCAAAAGAGGAGAAAACACAAAAATAACATACAAATAAAAGTTTTGAAAATCATAATCCTTTGTAGTATGTACAATTTTGACACAGCTACAATCACGTAGAAACTGCTCTGTCAGTCGTAAATCTCGATATAAATTTCGTTCATTCCCAAAATATTGCGAAAATGAAACTCGATCACTTGTCTCAAAAGTTGATGAATTATAAGCAATGGTTTCCAAATTCCACAACATGTGTGTTCATTTAAAACATAACAGACAAACCCAACCGGACAAATTCCAATATGGCAGTATCAGTTATCACTCAGAATAATGCTGTTTGACAAACCTTCATTAACCGGAAAAATTCTAGAAAAAAATTGTGATAAAATTACAACCTCTGTTTCAACAATGAAAAACATCAACATAAAAGTGAGGTCGTAACTCGTAACATGTTTCAACGTTTGGACAAGCTTCTCAGGATCAAAGTATTCAACGTGTGAGAAAACTTTACAATCCAAATTTAATTGATACACTTCAATGCGTATAAACGATAGAGAAGGGAGAAGAAGGAGCGAGTTGAACCTCACCTTGCCGTGCAGCAAAGGAAACACAAGCAAAACAGAGCATCCAAAGCAGAAGAAATCGAAGAAGCATTGCGGTGGATTCGCCTTCTCTCTCTCTCTACAACTTCTTCTTCTTCTTCTTTGTCTCTTTCTCTCTCACACTCATCGTGTCCCCATTTTTGTTGAGTGCTTTTCTAGAGAGAGAGTGTGTGTGGGGCGTGCGCTTGGAAAATCTTCTTCGTTCAAGTTTACTCGCTGGGCGCCAAAGAAAACACGCACTTGTTTCCGTGCTGCTGAGTCTCATCATAACCGATGCAGTTTCAATCGGACGGTGCTGATATGCTCTAAGTGCCAACTCATCACCCTTATCTTATTTATATATGAATAGAAGTTTGAGGTAATTCATATCTCTAATATTTATTTACAAATAGAATTATTAGAAGGTTATGTAGTTATTTAGAAAAAATATAAGAATTATTATTATTTTATATTTAAGAGATATAATGATTTATTAAAAAAATGGGGAATTAAATATTTTAATATTTTTTTTATAATATATATAGAATAAGTGTATTGGATGTGACGTGGATTAATTACTCATTGAGATTCATGGAGCCAATAAAAAATTAAAAATGTTTATGAAGGAAGAAAATTATTTAGAGGAAACATCCAAATAGTAATTTGTTTTTTATTAGTATTTCTTTTGGTAATGTTTATGGTTAAGTGAAGATTGTGATTGCTGGTGATGATACTTGTACTTTTAGATCCGACGGTGAAGAAAGGTCGTCGATGGGTTGATTGAGCTTTTTGACTTTTGGCCTACAGTGAGTAGTGGGGAGGGATCAGTGCGCAATCATCGGAGGGCATACAGGATTTTTCTACATCAAAGTATAAATGTGAATTAATGCCCACAAAATGTTGGTCTTGTGGCAGCAAGTAAACTCATAGTATCTGACAAGAACACGGACTAAAAGCACATGTTCTTATGAGAGTTTATAATAGATCCGGTGTTTTCAACAAATTAGCATTGGAGTGGATGAATCTATGAGTATCTTGTTTGAGTTACTTAAATAAGCAACATTGTTTTCCAAGTTCTGACTAATTTTATGAGAAAGAAATGTTATAAAGTGAGAAAATATTACTATTTTATGTGTTATGAAAATGTTACATATATCGATTTACAAAATAAAATTAAAACCTCACTTACATTATAGTGAATAATGTAAAGTTCTTAAACTTGTATGGTAGTTTAAGACTTACAAATAATAATGAGATATTGACTTTAAAATATCAATTTAATGTTTGCATGAACTAATAATTTGACATATATGATAAGTCATATGACTTTTATATGACTAAGAAACATAAAATTTAGAAAAATATAAAATTAGTTGACTTAATTACACTTTTGGTCTTCCTAATTTAGTGTAGGAGTAATTTTGGTTTTCATAATTTGAATTGCTTAATTTTAGTCCATAAATTTAAATAATGAGCAATTTTAGTCCCACAAACAATTTACCATCCAAAATTTAATAGACGTTAATGATATGAATTTTATGCTAAATAAACATTAATTATATATTATTTAATTTCTTATGTGTCAAATTATTTAATATTCAAATTTTAAAAATTTTAAATTCAAATTCGTTTTCTCATCCGTCGTACCCTTCCCTTTGTTTCTTCACCAGCACCCTCGCCAGCAACGCCGTGTACTCCTCCAGCACCTCCGCCACGATCGCTACCAGTATCATCTCTTTTCAACAATCATTGCGAGAATTTTTTACTGAAATAAAATTTAATTTTTTTTTTACCAAAACAGCACCTGTTCCAATTTATTTACAGAAGTAGCACCTTTTACTGTTCATGATCAGAATTCGGTTACCGGGGAACCGAATTTTGAGTAGTGTTTAAATTTTTTTTTTCTTTTCTGTTTGTAGTTCAGGTTGTGTTTATGTTGCAACTGGAACGGCCTGTTCTTCAAGCAGAAGGGGTCGTTCTGTTTGCATGCGTAGTCTGTTAATTTTGAAACTAGAACGCCCAAGTAGAACGACCCGTTTTGATCCATTCGTCATTGTGTATTTTTGCATCCAGAACGGCCCGTTCTCCTGTTTTGCAAGTACTGCATGGAGAACGGACCGTTCTGAAAGGAGAACGGGCCGTTCTGGATCTAGTTTTACACCATGCTCAGATCTAAAATTGCAAAAGAAAAAATATATTTAAAAAATTCTATTTTAGTGAAAAATTCTGACTATGATTGATATCAATACTCTTTTCATTTTGTTTTCAATATTATTTGAATTTAAAATTTTTAAAATTTGAATATTAAATAATTTGACACGTAAGAAATTAAATGATATATAATTCATGTTTATTTAGCATAAAATTCACATCATTAACGTCTGTTAAATTTTGGATGGTAAATTGTTTGTAGGACTAAAATTGTCCATTATTTAAATTTATGGACCAAAATTAAGCAATTCAAATTATGAGGACTAAAAATACTCTTACATTAAATTAGGAGGACCAAAAGTGCAATTAAGCCAAACTAATTTAAAGAGGATTAAAATCCATTACTCTATATTTAATTCTTTATTTAGTTTATGTGTTTAATTAGATAAACTTCTCTAAAAATATTTTTAATAGAAAAAAATGAAATAAGATTCTCCATATGTAATAACTCATACATATGTTAAAAAAATAAGTTATAAAATAATTTTTCCAAATTGAATTATAAATAAATTAATTTTAACTTATAAAAAAATCTTTCATTTTTTATTATTTTTTTCTTCTAGATCTTTATAGAAAAGTTTATTTAAATAGATGTTATATGTAGTTTACCTCCATTATCTTTTTCTTACTTGCATTTATCTCACCTTATAATATGAACACTATATTAAATTTTTTTTTGATTAAATACGGGGCTAAAAAACAGCCCAAACTAAACTAAAATCCACGAGGGAAAATTACATTATTAGAAGAATCAGCAAATAAAGGAGTCATCACCCAAGGGGGGGAGCTAAAAATTTGAATCCCATCCAGAATACCTATACCCCTCTTAGCTAAGCAATCTGCTACCTGATTGGCCTCACGAAAGATATGGTTGCACTTCACATCTAGATTATTGCCTGTCATATTAACTATGAGATTGACCAGAGAATAACATGGATTTTCTCTTGAACACCCTTCATTGAGGAACTTCACTGCTAGAGCTGAGTCCGATTCAATTATAATCGGGTCAGAAATTCCTCTCTCATTAATGATCCGCAATCCATGAAAAATTGCCCATAACTCAGCTTGGACCACAGAACATGTCCCCAACATACTTGTGAAGGCAAAAACAAAATCACCTGAACTATCCCGTAACACTCCTCTGCAAGCTGCTATAGAATTTACGTCAACTGCACCATCACAATTCAGCTTCAATATGCCTTCTGGAGGAAACTTCCAACCAACCGAAACAAGAGCACCTTGCCTTCTATCACATACAACCTCTTTTAGAAAAACTTTTTTCATTTCATCAACCCTTCCTTTAATCTCACCCACTATTCAAGTTCTGTGAAAATTTCCTTGCTGGAAGACAATAGAATTCCTTGCTCGCCATAAAGAATCCATTACAATCACGAAACTAAGACACCATCGGGGATCTACATGGGTTAAATTTTCTTGAAGCCAAGTCACTAGTAGAACATTAAAAAACTCGTTGAGAAAGCCTTCCGTACCTATTGCACGCCATATTTCTTTTGCCTCATTACAATCACGTAGAATGTGCATAATGGTTTCACTATGATTGTTGCACACAGGACAATTTCCATTTAGAGTGAGACATTTATGCGCTCGCCATTCATTCGTACATAAACTTGAATGTGCCACCCTCCAAAGAAAGCATCAAAGTCGTTCTGGCCCCTTCCACTTCCAGATAACCTGGAAGAGAGGAACATGACTCGTAGCATCCCGGAGAGACTGGTAGGCCGACTTTAAGGAGAACCGACCATTTGACGCTGCACCCCAGACCAATATATCTTCATCGGGAACTAGAGAAGGCGGAGCATACGCTAACAATTCGTTCCGCACTGAGATAGGAAGCAAGCCTCGGATTTGATCCAAATCCCACTTTCCTCCAGGAGAAACATAATGTGCAACAGACTTATTTAGTTCATTTGCTGGAACAAGCTGTGTAGCTTTTATCCACCAGTTTGGTACGTGAAGGGAGCCAAGAATCTTTCCAAAATGATACCATTTTCCATCACCTATATTCCAAGCCATGCTTCTCTGGATATCATCCCATGCATCACAAATCCCTCTCTAGAAGTTTGAGCTGTTTGGCCTTTTAACGACCATAGGTATATTCGCTGGTCCACATTTATATTTCTCGCGAATGACTTGAACCCAAAGCTTATTTTGATCAGTGCATAGAGACCACCCATTCTTCATCATAAGTGCTTTGTTAACATTTCGGGAATCCCGTAGCCCCAGGCCTCCTTCTGCTTTCGGTTTGCAAATTATGGGCCATGCCACAGCATGGATACGATGCTGTTCTCCCTTGTGGCCCCATAGAAAAGAACGACACTCTTTGTCTATATCATCACAAATTTTGCGGGGGAGAAAAGCCGTCTGCATCGTGTACATTGGGAGGGTAGCCAACACAGACTTTGTAAAAGTGAGTCTTCCTGCAAAGGAAAGAGTTTTCGTCTTCCATGAGCTCAATCTTTGATTGACTTTGTTAATGATTGAGGCGTACAACCTTCTATTAACCCTGTCATGCTGAATTGAGACTCCAAGATACTTCCCCAGATTATCCGTTCGTTGAAAACCCAAGGCAGAACTAATCTCCTCCCTAACCGACCACCCAACGTTTTTGGAGAAAAAAATACGAGTCTTTTCAAGACTCACTTTTTTGACCCGAGCTTTTACAGAAAAGCTCTAAACAGGCTTGGATAACTTCTACTTGATCAAGAGAGGCCTCAGAGAAAAGGATAAGATCATCTGCAAAGGCCAAATGAGATAAAGGAGGGCCTTGTTTAGACAAATTGGTTTCCAAAGCTTTTGAGCCACTGCAACTTCAATAATATGGAAAAGTCGCTCCATACACAACATAAACAAATACGGGGACAAAGGATCTCCTTGTCTGATGCCCCGAGAAGGATGAAATTCTTGCAAAGCTTCACCATTCCAAAGCACACGAGACGAAGGTGTTGAAATACAAGCCCAGACCAACTCAACAAAGTTTTGGGGTAAACCA